TCAGCAGGCCTATTTGAAGGCAAAAAAAAAAATCAGCTCAGGAAAGGCAATTTGCTGGCTTGCTGCAAATACAACTTGCTTAGCAGGAGCTCTTTTGCATAACAATAAATGTAATAATACACAAGTAATGTACAGTACAATTCTCTCTGCAAGCAGTTTGCTAGTGTCGTTTATATAAATAAAGCAAATGGTCCAGCATGCAATACAGAAGAATTTCAGTCTATTTGCAAGTGTGTAAATGAGTCATTAATTGTGAAGAGCTTTTCTCCTGTGTGTGTGTGTGTGTGTGTGTGTGTGTGCGTGCGCGTGCGTGCGTATGCGTGCATGTGCTGTGTGACTGTGTTCGTCTCTGGTGAGAGATCCAAGAGAGGATACTTCCACTGCCATCAACTACAACCACAACTTCATTTTCATTTCACATTCGTCACAGCCTCATAAGCACCTTTGCGTCTGCCACCCGGTGTCTTTGCGAGCGTTTTCATCTCTCGCTCCTCTCATCTCATCAGCTGAGGAGCTAAAATTAGAAAGCAACCTCTGTCTCGTACTTTTTTTTCCTGTAAATCGCATCCTACCTTCATTGAAGATCCAATCGGCCCCAGCTCGACCACCATATCTAATCAGTTTGTAATGAGTTGTCACAGTTGGCATGATGGCTGGTGTGACGCTTGGTTGACGAGCCTGATATTTATTCATGTAAAAAACGATGTCGCACTTATTGCCACTTCCACAAATGACTCAATTTGCCAAGGAAATGAACCTCATCTGAGTTCCTGTCAATCTTGTCGAATTCCTAACCCCCGGGAGTTTTGCATATGTGTGAGCACGCCACAACTTTGTATTAGTTTATCCAGACTTTTATTTTTCGACACAGCACCTGCAAAATGGCAGCACTAGGCCTGATAATGAAGTTGGAGACAAGGCCACTGACCTGTCCCTCAAACTGATTTTTCAATTGTTTGTCATATGTTGTCTTTGATATTTTCCCTTTTCAACATCGTCTGTGTCATAAAATTAATTTGGTTTCCACTGACTGAGAAAGGTCCAACAGCTGTCATCATTATGAAAGCTGCACACCCTTAGGCTTGGAAGAAAAAAAAACAGTACTTTTCTGATTCTTTTTCCCCTTTTTGCTGTTTATTGTCATGCTGAGGTTCAGTGTACAGCTGCTGCAGAGTGATGACTGGCCATCGGCACCATCTGCATAGATTAATGTGTTTGATATTTCCCTTTTCCACCTCCTTTTTTCCTGGTGAGCATCGGGAATCGCTAGCATCTCCGTTGCCCGCCCATAGCTGGCTGCCTCGTAGGGCTTCACAGTGGGGAAGCTGAGCAATTTGTTTCTGGATGGCTCCAGGCTTATCGTCTCCGCTTGACAGATGGGCTTTGCCTCAGCTCAGGTTGGGTTTGGTAGCAGTGCAATGCTCGCCACTTGCCTGACAGAACTCATTATGGACACTCCCTGGGAGAAGAAGCATCTCCGCAAGGTCCTGTTACCATCACCGGACTGCTACAACTCACCACTGAGCTAGATGTCCAAACACAATGAAATGATTAGCTCAAACCTGCTTTAACCCAGCGACCATGCACTATTTCTTACCTTTCATGTAAAAAAAAAACTGCTTTTGAGAAAATGAACAAAAAAAATTATTAAACAAAGATAATTTCAGGATGGTACTGACCTCACTTCTTTTATTCTTCTTCTCATAATTGAATTTGAGCCCTAACCTTGTTGTTTGTCAATGCCAGAAACACAGGTAAAGGTTGATATCTTTTTATGATGAGACAATGGTCGCTTCTGAAGCTGGAGGCTGTATATTGATCTTATGTAAACCTCATTATCCGCTCATGTTTTATGGCTCTGAATTAGCCTCTGTATATACCTTTTTCCACACTGAAAGAGTCTAAATCTCCTTATAAATCTCATGCACACATCATACTTCTTTTACTTTTTTGTTCTGTAATTAAACTCCAAAACACCCTCAATTAGAATGGCACAGTAGAGCGCATAGCTTCACAAAGGTCAAACAATCACTTTATGAAAAGAAATTTCACACAGTCATAAATATCAGTCACCTAAATATGTCAGATTATTTTCCTGGATCTGCCCTTCGATCAGGACCGTCACCAAAATGTAATTGTGTCTTGCCTGACCCATGCCACATTCTTCCACCAAGGTTAATTATAATCCATCCAGTCCATTCTTTGCGTAATCTTGCTTACAAACAGACAGTGGTGAAAACATAACCTCTTTGGTGGAGGTAATCTATGCATCTGAACAAGAAACACCATTTTTTTTATTGCTGGTCAGATCCTGGCACCTATAATAGCCACAATGCAACTCAACTATCAACAACTGGGAGGCCAGAGCTGCAGGTGTGTTAATCTAGTTGTGGTGGCCTCGAGTCGTTAGCCTAAAGTAAAGATAAAGAAATGGGCTGCAAATTGGTGGAGTTGCTCCATTCTGAGAAATTAAGGAAATTGTTGAAATAGCCTCTTTAGATAACAATTGTATGCAACTGACTGAGTAGTGCAGGTGAGGTTTTAGGGTTTGACAGAGATGTAAATTCAACTGATTCACTGTCATACTTTGTACAATTCCTCTTAAACTGCCATGACAGAAAACTTATGAAATCCTCTCCCTTCCTGAGAGCACTCTATTTTCAGTCGTGGGTCAAACTGTGCTTAGCCTTGCATATAATCATCATGCCACATGGAGCAGTGTGCCACCTTCTTCAATCCAGGGAAAAGAAGGAGAAAGGAGGGCATGTCTACATATGAGATATTTTGATGAGAGGAAGTTACTCAGCTGAGATTAAATATAATCCTCATAAGTAAAATCTTCACAACCTTATTAGAGCTTGACTCCATGTGTCGCTGCTGCAAATATCTCCCCTCCCTTCACGTGAACACACAAACCAGAGAGGAAAGACACACAACCATTTGCGTGGTGGACAAGCATACGCCGACATCAAACAGGGTAAAGCTCTGTTCTTACATATTCCTCCCACAGATTTGCTGCATAAACTGTATCCGCCTGCCACACACACAGGAATACAAATTGTCACGTGTCACACACACAGTCTTACACACTTCAGTACACAATATACAGTCGCAGTGCACCCAGCATGGCATGGCGAGTGACCCAGAAAGAAGAGTGAAAATGTAATTCAAATAAACAACTTTAAAAGGCTTTAAGGTAAGGTGAGGAAATGGAAGGCAGGGAGGATGAGGCATAAAATGGAAGGGCTCTTTGTAGAAATTTTAAATTGCGTGTTTTTTAAAGTAGTTTATGAAAGAGGAAAGTGGCCCACAGACATAAGTCTCCAAAAAAGGTCGATTTGACGGTAAAAAGCAGCAGGAGTCGTACATTTATTTGGCTGCTCTCCCAGTTTGCGTCTCTTATTTAGAATAAAGCCGTATTCGTTTTGACGAGATCGTACCTGTGTCTGCGAGGAAGCATATAACGTACTTATAGCCTGTTACATTCCACCAAATGTATCAAATTGTCTTAATTAATAGCTAATTTAAGTTCCTCCATCATCTCTGTGTGCACTGTTTAATCTAATCAGTCCAGTCATAAGGACTTAAAGTCAGGTTTGCACATTTTCATCGCACTTGAAGGAGTGGAGAAAAGAAGTGAGGGAGGACGGGCTGGGGATCGAGAGGACTAAAAACCGTCAGTCTTTTTAAACTGTGCTTAATGTTCTTCGTCCATGCTGTAATGGTTCCCACTGTGGCCCTCCGACCACCTTCTGATCAAGCATATGCTAATTGGCTGTTATGACTCACTTTTCTATCTCTCTCTGTGTCTCTTTGTGTCTCTCTGTCTCACCGAGGAGTAGATTTGGACATCCAGAGACAGCGTTATGTCATTTAATGCCCTCAAATGGCTCTGAGCCCCTAATACACCATGAGGCCAATTTACAATTTCCAGACGCAGTTTGTGTGAGAGAGTAATTTGTATGCATGGTGTATATTGGCTAATTTAATACCTACGTTTAAAAAATAGGTTCTGTTGGTTGTAACTAAAAAGCTGCAGCTCTACATTTTTGTGTAAAAGTTGTAGTTCCTGTGCTGTCACATCCAGTCCCATCAGCCCGTGGTATGAGGCGGTGCAGCCCTGCCGGGAGGTTTGCCGGGCAACTGGGGGGATGGTGAAACAGCCTGGCAACACTGAGGCAGATGCACAATGAGCAGCATCGTGTTATGACTCTGAATGTGTGTGTCAGGCCTCGACAGCGTGCACATTTGTGATGGCCAAACTCATTGACTGGCATATGAGGACTGTGCTAAACATCATCAAAAATAGAGCTTATTGTACGCGCTTGGCAGCTGACAAAAGAACCATCCACATGGTGCTGAGTAATTATGCTCATATCGTGCCTGCACTTTTTTCTCATCGTTTCAGCAGTCAGCAATTTTCCCCTCGTAGCTTCTCGCTCATAACATTCAAGAAATTCATTATCACAGCTGGGTATACAGATCAGAAGCCTGATGGCAAAGGTCTAACCGACAGTGCAACTGTTATACAGCAGGCGGTCTCAGCTGAGCAGCAGAATCAACAAAGACCATATTTTCTTAATCAAGATTATTCTCTGAGAAATCCATGGAAATGTTGAAAAACAACTTTATCTCGCAATGTTATAGAAAGTGATCTCTGTTAATCCGTCAAGCAGTTTTTGAGTAATGCTGCTAACTAACAGACAAACGGATGCAGACAAAAACAAAGCCTCCTTGGCAGAAGTAATAATGCACAAGGTTCAGATTGCTGAACAATATAGTCCTAAATAATAAAAAAAGTGTATTTCACTTAATTTAGCTGACGCTTTTATCCAAAGTGACTTACAATAAGTGCATTCAACCATGAGGGTACAAACCCAGAACGACAAGAATCAAGTAAGTACAATTTGCTTCATAAAAATCCAAACTACAAAGTGATACATGTAAATTCCACACAAGTGCAAAATTTTTATTTCTTGATCCAAGGTTTAGTTGAAAGAGATTTTAGTCTGCGGCATAAGATGTGTAGACTAGTGTTTTGAAATGTATGCAGGCAGCCATTGATAATCAATGAATGGTGTGAAGTTGCTCAGAGACAGCAAGGAGGGCAGTCTCAGTTGAGTGGCCTGCCATGGATCCAGATTGGTGAAGATCAAGAAGGTTGTTATGGTGGATATAGGAAGAGAGTTGATTTTAGAGAGCTCGCTAAAGAGCTTTGGAAAGAAGAGAAACAGGTCTGTAGTTGATTACTTCAGGCGAGTTGAGGATGGGTTTCTTCAGGTTGAGGGTTAACTCTTGCCTGCTTCAGAGTTAGAGAAACAGCCAGTTGACAGGGAAGTGTTAATGATAATGGTACAAGCTTGTAAACTTGAACACACTCATGTCTAAAGGAGAAAAAGAGGCTTTCTGTCCTTCTCAGCCAAGTTGCAGAGGCATTTGAGCAGCAGCAGCAGGTTCTCCTGAAGTCTTACTGGAGCAGTGGTCATTACGAGCTTCTTCAGAGTCTCTGGGTTGTTGTAGTTCACTGGATGAGCACTGTGTTCTCCAGACTTCCCATTCAGGAGCCCATAAGAGTTAACGATAAATTCAGAGAATTGAGGGTGAAGTGTCTTTTTGTACCCGAGCTGATTCAACTGCTCCATGAGGTCAGCATACCTCTGAGTGAGGTAAAGCTGATAGCCTTTATCTACCTTCCCTGTCAGTGGATTTGTGCTAACCTACAAGAGAGGTAGAGAAGCTTGTGAGTTTGGAATGCTTTGTTTTTCTAAATTAACTGATGAGATAATTTACGATTGAAGCTTTGTTGAGATTTGATGTCTTGTAGACTAATATGTCAAAAAGGATAAAAGTCTTAATTTAAACACAAATTACATTGAAGGGGCTTATTACCTCTACGATCTTGTTTGGTATATTCTGCAATGTGAAACCATAATGCCTCTTGCTTCCCTGGAAGATATAGGACAGAATCCTCCTGTCCAGTTGGTAAGCAATCTCTCCCAGGATTGTGTCTGCAACAGTGATAATTTAATTAATTAATGATTCATTTTTTGGCAACACTACTATTGCTTAAACTTCTCCAATTAAGCATCACTCACCTTTGTCCTCAAGCTCCACATCAGCCTGGCAGCTTTGAGATGTAGACTCATGTAGGTCTGTGTGAGCAGAGTTTTGTTTGAAAGACCTGGAGTGGGTCGGGGACGAGGTTCGACATTCATTTTGGAGTCTGGTCTGTTCCAAGTGATTTGAGAAGTGCTTCTCATCGAGGGTGGTTGTGGAATGTTTTCTTCCTGACGGGAAGCAAACTGACAACAAGAATTCCAGAAATTATTATTGTCTTGTCTGAAGTAAACAGGAGTGCAATTACATCATTTTTAGACTTTCTGTTGATGATATAAAAAGGGGTTCCCTACACCAGTGTTCACACTGCATGTACTACATTGAATATTATGGCTTAAACTATTTTAATTCTGTACAATTTACCAAATTTGAGCAGTAAATCCCTGTAACTGTATGGAATATTTACTGACATTGATAATTGTACATTATGCAAGAAAAACAACACAGTACTAATACATAATGTATATCTAAAAAACAGAGAGAAGAGAAAGAGAGAAGATAAAAATCTATATGATAAATATAGGTTTAGTAGACAGATATAAATATAGAAATGGTTGCTTGATTTGATTAAAATCCCTCCTTAATGATTATATTTCTGAAATCAAGTCAAGGGATTTCATTTTGACAATCTGAATCTCTGGAAATGTTGAAAGGGAAACAGTTCATGTTCATGCTTATATTACTTAAATGGCAGAGAGAAAGGAAATCTTGTGAATTAAAGAACTGCAAAATGCAAATATCCTTTTTGAAAACAAAGGTAACCAGATATCTTTTCCCCATTAAACTCACAATTGTATTTTTTGTAATTTTTGTTCCTGTTTTAAAGGTCCAGTGTGTAAGATTTAGGTGAAAGGAAACGATTGGCAGAAATTTAACGTAAAATAATCCTCATGATGTTTTCACTAGTTCATTTCATCTAAATTGTATGAATTGTAGTTTTCTTTACCGTAGAAAAGGTCCTTTATATTTACATCGAGGGGGTCTTCTCTACAAAGGCCGTCATGTTTTTTACATTAGTCCAGACTGGACAAACTAAAAACCTTTTGAGTTTTTATGACAGCTGAAGCTACCACAGGTTATTTTTCATGTTTCGAAGGGGAGGGTGAGGTGAGGGGTATTCAGCTGCAACATACAATTTTAACACTAGATATCACAAAATTCTACACACTGTACCTTTAACTTAATTTCATTCCATTTCTTTGACAGTAGACAAAAACTCTGAACTGCACTTTAGCTGTCCTCTATTGAGAAGAACATCAGCAATACCTGTAGGCGCCTCCAGAGTATTATTGTTGAGGAGCTGCAACCTGGATTTCAGTTCCGAGTTTTCCCTAACCACAGTAAACAGAAACCTCAACTGTTCATTCTCTTGTCCAAGTTGTTCATTTTGTGACTGCAACACAGTAATTGTTTGCTCCATATCCATTTTGAGGTTCCCAGTTCAAGAGCTGCAGCGACAAGCACAAAATTCTTCTTTTTCTTTGTTCGGTTTAATGACTTGTGGCACGCAGATTTATTGGCAGGTGGCAACCAACATCAAAGGTGAAAGGTCAGATCATATGTTCTACATCAGAGGAGAACCCTTTTCCATAAAGGTCTTTCCTATTTCTCAGACAAATGATGTCCTTTGAACTGTGTTTGATGTTTTGGATAGCAAGGCATTGGTAGCAGTCTTAATTCAGACACTGCTATAGGTTTTTGGGTGAGCGAAGGACATCATTGGTTACTCTAAGCAGGAAGCTAATCCTGCTTTCTTCCATTACCCACAGCTGATCTTCCTTTTCTCTATGCTCAACCATTTTAAGGTTCAAAGGTTTTATTGTCATCTGCACAACAAATACAGCGTACATGTTTGCAATGAAAATCTTAAATCTCAGGCACCTCAAGCAACTCTACATTCAAGTGTCATAAAATAAAAAAGAGTAACTAAAAATACAATAACATACACTAGTGCAAATGTTAGTACTAGTGCAAAAAAAGTTAAGTAAGGATTGTAAGGTGCAAAAAAATAAAATAAACATTATAATAAAATAATAAAACATTTTAAGGTGCTAAATGAGATATGTACATGTCAGACTTAATTTAGCAGCAGTTATGGGGAGGAACGGACAGATAAGAATTATTGCACTCTTTATATTTTTATATTGATAGGAAATATGATGAATAGAAACGCAGTGACAGAATGAGAATTATTGTAAACTAAATAAATAAATATCAATTATTGCTAATGAATATTATAATGTGAAAATAACTATGTTGTGAAAAGAACTATGTTGTTTTAAAAGGATGTAGTGACTTCCACAGAGCTCAAGAGTTTCATCTACTGCCCGTCTTACTTGAGTGACAGCCTTTGCAAATCTTTATGCCTCTTTCTGACGCTGGATATCGAGGACTCCCAATTTTTGCTGCTCTGAAGGAGTTGCCTCGTTCCACAGTGGCCTACTCAGACCTAGGCCCAAACCTCCTCTTCCCTATTGAACGTGGCCCGCAATTTCAGCATGTTGGAGTGCTGCTATGCATGTTGAGTTGCTCTCTTTTGATGTCCATTTCCTGTTGTCGGTGATGGTCCAACAGTGTGTAAAGAAGTGTCTTGGGACTCTGAGTCGTTCATCTTTTGCCTTGTCTTGGTGCATTTAAACTTTTCTACAAGACTTCAGATTGGCCGCCCGAGGATGCTGTGCCCATACAGGACAATGTTGGTCATGCTTCATAGAGTGCAATGAAAGCAAAGCATTGCACACACAGGGAATATAAGGCTCGTATTTAAACAATAAAGCCATGTGAGTTATTTTCGAGATTAGAGGTCTCGTGTCTTTTTTATGTTATGCAAGCAGTTCACAGCTGAACAGACAGAGAAAATGATCTTTCAGCACAGTTTCAAACTTTATCTGTCCAGTATGTCATGAACATAAATGTTTGTGACATATCCTGTAGGCTACCGTTTTCAAAATAATAGTACTCCAGGGTTTCTTTTAACTTAATCTATTGAGGCTTTTATTGTGAAATATTTGCAGGAGCAGAAAATGCACAGCTTCATACTATATAGTACTGGTATCTATTTGAGTACACATGAACAAATTTCAGACAAGGATATAAACTTTAGGAAGGATGTAGTTATATTAAGTTACATGAAGAACTTCAGGTGAGGGGAAGTAGTCTCTCTCTCCTTCTCTCTCGCTCTCTCACAAACTCAATCACTCGCGCATTTATGATCATTTTCAGTGTTAACCCAGAAACCCGTTTAAAGTGCTGATACTAATAAAATTAGGTATCGTAACGTTTATACCAGCAGGGTATCGCGATACCTATCTAGTATCGATATGCCCTTGTTGTCAGCTTTCCTGTTCATAGTGGTCACTGGATGCATCATTTTAGAATATAGGACAAGATAGTGAATATCCTTTGTATGTTTGAAGGTCTTCTGCACAATTTAGGTTACCAAGTAGCAGTAGATGTTAAAAGGTGAACGTTAGGGACATAACTTCAGTTGTGTGCCTTAGTGTCAAAGAGTATTTTGGCCTTGTAGTCAACAATACAGGCCGAACTCAAGGGTACGCTAAGGCTAAAGGTAAATCTGCCTGGCTTGTATGGCAGCAATATGAAAGCCATGTGGCCTGCTCAGTAGATCAGACATCCTTAACTCGATGCCTTTTTAAACCAAACACTGTCCAATTTTAGAACATAGGATGGAGAATATCCCTTGTATGTTTTATTGCACTAATTAATGCATACCACCAATTGATGTAATTGGATGTTAGAGACATGTCTTCAGTTGTGTGCTTAACTCACACAATCAGTCTGTAAGTAATTTTAAACATCTGCTGCTTTGTCACTTTTTGGCATTCTACACAACCGAGTCAACACGCACACCATTACTGTCAATGATCTGTTGTACAGTCTACCTGACATTGCAGCTGTTCAAACTATGTTCACACAAAGTAAAATCTGTCTTTGGGAGGTTAGACAACAACGGGAAGAAGGAAAAAATGAACGTGGTGTTTCATTCACCAAACTCCAAAGACCAAAGACCCTGCTGTGCCGGTATCTATCCCACATAATTACACAAATAGAAAGTTTGCTCTCCTCCCTCCCGGACCCTCTCCCTCTCTCCTTCCTGTGGCATTCAGCCGCAGTTTGCAGTGATATGCAATGCACTAGGGGAGCGGGATAGGGGTATTTAGAACTGAGGAGAGGCAACTTGTCAAACCAAAATGAGCACCAGAGTGAAGACAAGAGAATTACAGTAGGAGGAATAAAGCGCTGTGAAGCTAATTCTGTGGTATTGGAAGAGGAATGAGGAGGGAAGGTTTAGTTTGTTTGCTTGTGTATGCTGGAATCCATAATTTTATCAGATGAGCAAGTAGAAAATAATTGAAAAATCGATGTTTGAATTCTACTGCTCGCATGCACCTCCCTGCATAAATACACACACATTGGAGTGGATGCGATGTGACTTTGGCTGTTGTGTAACCCAGCCCAGTGAGTCATAACAGGGTGGGATGCGTTGTTGTGGTGGTTAGAGGAAGAGGAGGAAGCCTGCCTGGGGTGGATCTGTGAGCAAAGTCATCCAGGGGAGAGATAGGGAGAGATTTGCCTTTCGCCAGTGGTCTCGACTGTGGTCCACAAGTGAGGCGTAAATAAACATGAGCCTTGACGCACACATGACTCTTGACAAAATGAACATATGTGCTCATGATGAAAACACTGTACATATGTGCACACACACGTGACATTAATTAAGTGGAAAATGACAGAGTGATAGAAGGTTATCAGGGGCCGCAGGCGAAAATATATCAACCATCTTTACACACACACATAAAAATACAAAAATCATGTTTGAACACTAATAAATGTATGTTTATTTGCTTTACGGTGTAATTCTATAGACTCAAACACAATATGTGATACGTGTACAATTAAACCATTTGTAATTTTTTGTTTGTGTGTGCGTGTTGCTGTGTGTTTATCGACATCTCCCTCAACCCTCTTCTGTGCCGTTCAGCAGCCGTTTGCAGGGATATGCAGAACCCATGGGGGGCAGGGGGTATTTAGATGTGAGAAAAGGCAATTTGTCAAAGACCTAAGGGAGCACTGGAGTGATGACAGGAGAATTACAGTAGAAGGACTAAAGGGTTGAACAGCTAATGCGGTGATAGCGGAAGAGGAATGAGGAATGAAGGCTCAGTATGTTTGCTTGCGTACGTCCTGGGAGCTATTTGTTGTCAGAAGTGCGTAGGCTGCTTTGTTTGTTTGTTTGTCTGTCTGTGCGTGTGTGTGCGTGTGATACTTGTCTGGTACACGCCAGCCGAGCGTGCGCACACTCCTTCACTCGTTGTCGTACATGCCTGGATCCAGGCCCTGCCTCCGCAGCGGCGTTATCATCCAAAGAGGCAAACAGCTAGCCCCTGATTTAATAAGCTGCCTCGGGAGTCACAGAGGGGTGTGGAACCACTATCAGCTGATAACTGTTTTCCCTGCAAGCCCAGCTTTTCCCTATGATATCCTTTCCAAGAGTAGACTCGGCTTCTCGTTTTCTGTGTGATTGTGTCTGTATATTTGTGTGTGTGTGTGTGTGTTTGCGTGTGCATGTGTGCGTGCATGAGTGTGTGAGCGTTCCCCCGCCGGCTGCTGCCCACGTGTCTGCAGGCTGTGTCCGTCCTGTGTTGCCTCTCTCTGGGTGTCAGACAGACAGCAGAGGAGAGCCCACACATGGCAAAGGCAGGCCTGAGACCACAGTGTTTAGAAGCATATGCCCCCCGCCCACTTGCAGACCACACACACCCCACATCATGGCTGCCACTCCTGCCAAACCACAAAAAAAGCCATGGGCCAGACTACTGGCAAATTCCACATCTATCACCATGTTCTGAGCTTCACAGGCCTTAAAGCAGCATTGTCATCATCCTCATAGCACAACCTTGAAACCGATGCTAAGAAGAAGAAAAATTACCACAATAAAGAAAAATAAAACCACCACAAATTTTCAGAGAGCAACTGCTCCGCTTTACTTTGACAGTTTCTGTTATTCTGGTAACTGTGGCCTTGTAGCCATGTTTCAGCTGTCTGTTGGTGAACTGTTAGTGGAATAACTTTTAAGGAGTCGTGCTCAGAGCCAGAGGAGAAACGAGTGTGTGTGTGTTATAATTAAGTGATTAATAGTAATGCTAATAATAACAATAAAAATGATAATGATGTGTTGGTGGCTGGGTTAATGCTGTAGTTTGAGTTTATGTTGCAGACCAACAATTTGTTTTTTCTTAACCATGACTGTGATCTTTTCTTAAGCTTAACTGTTTAAGCCAATAAAGTGAATCATTTATAAAAGCTTTGAATACTTAACAACCTTTTTATTGAAAATGTATCCAGGATTTAGTCAAATCTACAATCTTTTTTGTCTAGTCCTCCATCTTTCTTTGAATTTCATAATTCCATGCACAACTCAGCTAATCATTTGAGAGTAGGGGCATTGAATTTTTTCTTTTTGCGATGGAGATGAAGTCATAGTATTATTATTAACAGTAAAATTGTGCTGCATAGTACACAGAGTAGTACCCCCCCCCCCCCGAGAAGCTGCTCTTTTTTGGAGGGCGAAGTCGCTGGTATTATTATAAGGTCAGTGATTGCTTTTTTTTTCTTTATGTGGTGTGCATTATCACACGCAGACGTTACCACCTCACGTTGTATGTGTGTGCGGCAAGGCGGCTCACATGATAGGCATAGTATGGGGTGGCCACAGTGACCTGCAGCTGACACTGATGATTGATCCTGGTGCTGGGATAAGTGCCTGCGCACCGCTGAGCGCACGGGTCCACTGAAACGCAGCCAGGTGGAAAATTAGAAATCTCTTCATCCCTGGTCCATTTGAAATCCGATATCTCCTATCTTTCCTGTGCGCAGGCACCTTTCCTCAGCCAATACATCAGTAATTAAATGATGTGTGTGTGTGTGTGTGTGTGTGTGTGTGTGTGTGTGTGTGGGTGTGTGTGTGTGTGTGGGTGTACATGAGGGGGCAGGTGCATGTCCTTCGGGGGCTGTTGGGGTAATGGGGATATTAAGTCTCCAGTAAAACTGCCCAACCCCCTGAAACACGTGTTCATAGTGTCTGCATAAAAACAGTAACCATGCCCATGTACAAACATCCACATACACTTGAGTTGTATGATGTGTGCTGGGTGTCAGGTGGAGGCGTAACAGTGCCTCTGGCGTGGAATAAATCAAAGTCAGGCCTCCTCTGTGCGCTGTACCTCACCTCTTGGAAGCCATCAGTGCAGGTCCACAGGAACAGTAACAACCCAGCTACACCATGTTAACATACTGTTGTTTCTTAGCTTCTAACATCCATCTCTTTTTGTTGTCCAGGTACGTCGGCCCAGGGTAGCTCCCTCCTCGCTTCCCTCCCCATCCCAGGACGGCCTCTTCAGCCTCAACTCGACCTCAAACACCTCCTGCCATTCAGGCTCAATGGATCCTCCCCCCTTAGCCTCTTCCCTAACTTTAATACGGTGAGCCTGATGTCATTAAAGCCGTTTTCACTCTGGAGAATGTTTGCACTGTTGGGTCTGGAAATTTTCTGGAATTTGCCTTTTACAGCAGAACGCAGCAGTCAGACACATTCACAACAACAGGAAAGTCTCCGATGCATTCAGGCGAGAAGTGGCGCCTGGGTGGAGCATGCAGGAGGCAGGATATGTGGCTGCAGTATTGAAATGTTTTTGTTTACAGCACAACACTGGCGTTGGCCCTCATCGCCAAAAGCTCTCGAATTTCATTGCCTTTCCAAGTTGACGCCTACGTCTTTGATGACGTCTTTTTCATCCTGAGATATTTGTATTCTTTTAGTTTCTTTAGTTCTGCATCCATCACATGAGAAACCTCATTAATGCTCCCACTCAATCATGGTGAATCTTCAGACAAAAACCTGCTTAATTCTCACATGGGCTCACTTGAACATTCTACTCGACATTCGAGTTTTAACTAGGGCACTGGCAGGACAAACTCCAGATAATGTCCGCAGCACCTGCCTCAGACCACATGCACATACAGGAGATAATCCAGAGTTTAGGGCAGCAAAATAAAAGTAGAACCAATGAATTTATAACTTATTTCAACAATAAAGGTCTCTAGCTGACCCCAAAATGGCCTGTAAATAATAAGGTACCTAATTAGATCCAGCAGAAATACCATGTGAAGAGGTGGCTCATCTCTCTGCGGAAAAATATTGTGATTACCCTGTTTGATGACATGCATACATACATTTTCAAGCTTGAGAGCTTGAAAATGTATTTTAACATTCTCGTCTCATGCACTCCTTGAAAGTGCAATTTGTTAGGAAATATATGAGGCAGGGGGAATGAAAGCGAAGGATCTAAGCACCTATTGATTACAAAAGCCCCAGCAGACGTATTAGCATTATTTTGTACTCTGGGGCAGCAAGCAGCCTTTATGGTGTAAGGGGCGGGGTTATGATTCACATACTTAATACATTTTGCGTCCCCTCATGCTGATCGGCTTGTTTTTATATTGGTGAGTGGTATAAAGAGAGACAGGTCTATAAAAGTGTGTGCTTGATGGTAGCCACCCTGTTTTTCACTATATCATTATCTTCCCAGCCAGACCTCATCCTGCAGTGCTGTGCGGCCGCCTCACCTCAGGCTCAGGGTGCTAATCTTTATTCGAGCGTCGTTTCACCCCTCGGCAATACTGCTGTCGCCTCTGTATCAGCATCTCTGTAGATGAGAGCATTATTACTTTGTTTCGAACGTCAGCAACAAACTGTTCGGTCTTACAGCAGCATGGATGCTCACCTCGCTGTGCTGCCCGGAATTAAAAGCTTGTATCTTTGATCCTTTACCTACCAGAGAGCTACACCCATTGTCATTTTGTGTGTGTGTGTGTATGTATGTGTGCAGGCACTTCCGATTTCTTTTGATCCTGTGTGCATGTGTGTGTGTGTTCACTCCCCTTATCGCACACTGTGAAACCATTTCCAGTTCTGTGGTCTGCAAAAAACACATAAGCCAGAGCTCTTGCTCCACCATACGCTTTGCACCTTTTTTAAACTAAACGAAAAAACAAAGGATGAGAGACAGAGAAAGAGACATCTGGCAGTGGAGGACATGTTTGAGGGGGTGGATGAGACATAAACCTAAGTTGTGTGATGTGCGCATATAGTAGGAGGTGGGAGGTGGGGGGTCTCCTGCCTACTATATATGAACACAAGTTTATTCATTTGTTCAGCCACCAACCACTTTGGGTCATGAGGTCGCCCATGGAGGATTGAGCACACTCAGCAGCGGAGGAAGCACAAAAAAACAATCGTTCCTCAAACATCCTCATGTGTTTATATTAGTGGTGGAGGGAGTATAGCAAGTCTCTGTTCAGTGTTTTGTCTGTCTTGGTTATGAATCATTGAGAAAATGTTTTTCTTTTCTTCTGTTTAAGCCTTCATTCTGTTTAATGAAAATAATCTATAGGCTTAACTGATAGTCACGTGGCCTGTACACCATGTGTGTAAAATGTTTATTATCGGCTCTGCCTCCAAAGGCACTAATTGAAATATGACAGCGATGAACTCGCTAATTTGGCAAAACAGTGAGGTGAGAGAGTGCCTCATTTTTCGGTGTGTTTGTGACGTCGAACAGGATGCACCAGGAGAAAAATCACAAAGGTCTCAGCTCTGCCCCTCTGCTGCCAATTGAAATGGAGCCAATTGCCTTTTAGAAACCTGCGTACACGCTCTAATTTGAAAAGAGGTATTGGTTTCTACCTTGAAACTTTGTCTGTGCTGCCTGGTTAAAGATGCATGTGAAGCATCAATATATTAGAATTTTCAATTTCTTTGCAGTGAAAACAATAATTCTTTTTCAACCTTTGTTTATTCAATGTATTTGTACTTATAAACCGAGGAGCACAGTCTGATTTGCTGGTCACTGTACTGGTGTGGGTTGAGGCCTTGCTCAAGGTTAACTACAGAGTCATTCCTACCAGTCCAAGGATGGAACCAGAGACCCTTTGCCTGCTGCTCCAACCTTTAGGCCCCCACTGACTCGCATGTCTGCTGTCATGACTACAACTTTGTGTTGTGTGAAAATCTGCTTTCTTTATCCAAACATGTGAACACATACAAGGAATTTGACACTTTTCTGTTTCTCTCACTGATGTAAACTGTAACTTGTCTGTTTGGCAGAGACAAATGGCCTCAAGGCAGTAATCCTAGTTTTCACACATTATGTTAGTTTAAAAAATTAAGAGTCATATAATTAACGGTAATTGTACAAGAAGAAGGCATTCGATTAATAATGAATGCAGGGAGCTGCCACACAGGAAATAGTGTTTACCGAGTCGCAGTGAAATTCAAACAGAATACAACCGGCAGTACGAACATGGAATCTACCACAACCAGAATGCAGAAATTATGATAACCATGAAAAAAACATCAAATCAGTGTCGTTTCAGTCCCGGAAGGAGATAATTAGCCTCCATAACACACAGTCTGACAGTGCAGCTGTGGCATTAATCACAAAGTCCTTTCAACATGGAGCCCCAGGTTCTCCAGGACCTGATAAGGCACAGGTTGTCTCGGATGTGTACAGAAAAGATGAATGCACCTGTCTCCAGAACTAAATATCCCTCAGGTCCCCTTGTGTCCCCTCCTCTACCCCCAACCTTCCAACCCCTGCTTCATCTCTCTGTGTGCTCTCTGTGTCTCTCTCTCTCTCTCTACCTTCCCTGAAACCCCGTCACGGACTCATCGGCCCCATGCTAGATAACTTCTGTCTGTACTAGGATGGCGGGGGAGGACGGAGGGCCTGGACAAAAGATGCATTTATAGCAGTTGGTTCTGGATGGCTGCGGACAGACAATGGGCACATTCTTCAACTAAAACAAATAGCTGTGTGCAGCCCGCCCCACTAAGGTGGACAGAGGGCGACGAGAGTGGGAGAGCTGGGTTTCCATGGCCAGGTTTTGGCTGGTGAAGGGAAAAGTCAGTTGAGTCATGTAGAGGAAACCAAAATAAATCAGCAGAGGCAAAGATAGCCCTGAGAGAAAGATACACCTCCTGCATGGAGGTTTCAGTGTCAGGTGTGTTTATATTCCCTCTCACACTTGTCTGTGAAGAATCTATAGTAAACAGACTCCATTCTTGCAGAGGAGTTAGGTCAGAGAACAATGCTCTCCGCATCCTCTCCCATGTGTGCAGAGGAATGGACTAGGCCAGGCCCTGTGCCAGGCCTGGGGAGAGATCCAAGGTGATTGTTATATGTGATACCACGCTGAAGGGTGCCGCAATGAAATCAGCTGTCATTGTGGAATTCCAACCTTCTAATGAATCCTCGCCTTTCGCTCTGCTCTTTATAGTATGCCTATCTGGGAGTCTTTTCAGAGTATTAGTCCCTAATACACTTCCCTATCCAGAAACACTTGTATGCCCGGCTGCAATGACCCATAATGTATTTGACACGTGTCACGTGTTTTGGATGACAATGGACTTTTAACTGCATTAAAATACCAGCTGGAGTGAGGGTTGTAACAACAGGGCATAACAAACTTATCCTACAGAGTCTTTGTAGAGAGAAAAGTGGAGGCTAAAGATGGATTTATTGTGAGCGCAGGGGGTCAATGGGAAACCCCAACACAAATACTGATGACATAGGTTTTGATTTATAGTTGAATGTCAAATGACCCTAATAATATTCCCACCATAATGCTACATACATTTATAATACATGTTTAAGCTGCTTCAATGACACCGGAACTATCTTTTTATGTCATTACCTCCACCAAGGACCTTTTCATTGTTTCATTGTCAATCAAAATCTCTCAAGAGTTACATCATGTTTTCCTTATTATAGCAGTGAGAAAACTTTTAGGAGCCACAATTTCAGTATGACCCCAAATCTCTCAGTACAGCACAGACGCCAACTTGGATGTTAAATTAAAAAGGGTCTTTGAAAAGACAAAGTGGACCGGCACTCATTATTTATATATATTACAGCAAATGTCTTCTGTCTGTGGTGTCTATAGGTAAAACAATGATTAGAAAGATACCAATACACAAAATTAAGAGACAGAAAGACACAAATCAAAACTGAAAATATTTTTTCCTTGCAGCTTTACTCTGTTACACAGAAGTGCTCATTTGCACAAATGGTTAGAATTAGAACCAATAGCAAACATTGCAGTCGCTCAGACTTCCATCAGTGTTCATGGTTTCAGGTCAGGTATGCTGCTGGCATTACCTCAGACACAGGAAGTTAAAAACGGAAAAAGCAAAAAACCATATAAGGAAATATCACAATTATCTGTGATAATCAGAAAAAAGGTCATTGAGAGGTGGTGTCATATTGAAACTGGTTGCATGTTTAGGTTTCACATTAAAAAGGTCTATAAATAGATTTAATTTGAAAAAGTTAAAGGCTCTGCACACCCACATATCAGGCATGAAAGTTGTAGAAAAGAAAATATGTCTTCTTGACAAATCAGGGAAGTGTTGAGTAGGAGGAGATAGTTTTTGTGTTTTGTCAAGAAAGAGCGTAATAATCTCAGGAGCATCTCGAGTGTCGCTGTGCAAACCTGTGACATCTTGAGTTACCCAAAAAATTATTTGTGTCGTCTGAAGCTCATTTTTCTTTCTTGTTTCAAGTTCCTCTTTGGAGTTTGGTTACATAGTGTGTACTGAATATCTTTGCTGTTGGAGTAATAACCCATGCAACTTAATTGGACTGAGGATTCATTGACTGCACCTTTACCTGGTATTTTAAGTGCCTCTGAAAGTTGATCACTGGTGTGCTGCAATAACACAGCATGGAAAAAACACTTTTTAGCTGTGAGACTATATTTTAATACAGTTTTTTTCCCTATGTTGTTTGCCAGTAACCTTTACAGTTACACCCACTTAATGGCAGAATGTTGTGACACATGAAAACCACCTTGATTAATCTAGTCTGTACTGTTTCCTCAAGGCCTTTAGAAGCAGTATAGAAAGAAGTAACGCGCACTCACTATGCATTTCATTAGGAACACGTGCACATCTGACTATTCATGCACCAAACTGTCAATCTTGTGGCAGCTTAGAGGTCAGGAGCTTTCACATCGAAAATAACTTGGAATCTGCTGCGTGTGACAGTGACGTTCATGGAACGAATTCTGTGCGAAAAGTTGCAGAGTAAGTGAAACAAAATTCTTGTGTCAGCTAATTCATTTAGATCCAAACCAAAATTGAATGGGTTCATTCCGATACTGCATCCTTCCACCAGGTTTCACGGTAATCCGTCCAGTAGCTTTTTGCGTAGTGCTGCTACAAGACACAGACAAACTAAGTGAAAACAAAACCTCCTTTGCAGAGCCATAAGAGCCATAACCAGTACTATAAAAACGCAGGTATAGAATCAACAAAGGTATGTTTGTTGACATCTTTTGGAATCTGTGGCAGAAAGAGGGAGGGCCTGCACAGTATTAATATGCTGTTCCTCATAAAGTGTTTGGAGAGCGTACTGTTGTTAAGCATTTTAAATAGCCTGAATTTATTTACTCTTACTTATTATAGTCGCACTAAAATGGGACATTGTGATAGTTCAATAGCAACACAAGTACATTATTTAGTGAGCATGAACCGGATAAAGTAAGTCTCCCCGCTGGTGCCTCGTCATCTTATCTTCTCAGTCCACCCTCATCTTGTTCATTGATGCACTTCCACTCTTCCCCATGCCATAAAAGCAGCTGCGATAAGGCCACTGGCAACATATCTCTGTACACATGGATGAAACAGCCATTGATGTCGGGAAAAGTCACGTCCTTGCACATGCGGAGAAATGGAAACATTCGTCTCACATCTTCAAGGTCATGCGACCTCACTCAGTGATGTTTTCATTTGTTCCAGATTTATGTCAAAAACCTGCTCAGCCATCACAGATGCTCTCTGCTTGTCCCTGCTTCTTTATTTTTATCCACTTTTTTATCTGGATAGATTAACATGTGAGGAGTGTGTTCTCTTCACGCCTTCTGCTTGCATGCAGGGGGGGGAGGGGGGCACAGATTGTGGCACCACTGGAGCAGAAATAGGCTACGTTCAAATCATATTATCTCTGATGTTCAGTGTGTTTCAGTGGTTATTTGCTTTTTTTCCACAGTGACATTCAACAACCTTATAGAAAGGATATTTTGCTTTATTGTCACATTGCTGTTCCTTATTATTGAGTTTAATGCATCTGTTGGTGTTGAGGTATAGTATTCATAGTATAAATGGGAGATATGGGGGTTTGTGCAGGAGGAAGCCACTACAGGACTGCTTATTGTTGAAATAAGAGTCTCAGCTGTGGCCCAGGAATTAGAGCGGGTCGTCCACAAGCCAGAGGGTCGGTGGTTAAATCCCAATCTGGAACATTTTCGCGTTTCAGGTTTTGACTGAGAGTTTGGCAGGAAGTAACAAAAATTATATCATAAACAATAATTGTCTGTTGTGAATGATGACTGGGGAAACACAGCCCAGTTGATTGTCAGTAATACAGTTTAAAATAAAATATCAATTAGTTTATCAAATGAATTAACAATAACAAATTACTCCATTATTCAAGTCACGCATTTATATCACCTCCATTATACATATACCTGAAGGTGGGGGTGTGCTTTTACCAACACAAAAAAACCTTTATAACACACTAGAGGAAAGAAACAGTGAAAAAGCATTATATGTCTCCTCTAACTACCTCCATGAACTGTGTTTCTCAGCCCAAATTAGCAACTAAACCAAAACAACTTGTAGTTGTGTCCTTCTTGCAGCATCTGTACCACATGTCTCCCCCTCTGTGTCCCCATCCTCCCCTACCTTCACCTCCCCTGCACTCCCCCTGAGGTGACAACACACTTTGAAAACCTCCATATTAGAGGATGTTTTGTAACAAATGCGGCAACACCGAAGATTAAGCCTTATCTTGCAGGGGAATAAGTTGCTCTGCTGTACAGAAATTTCTCAATTGGGGAAAAATAAAATCATATAGCCCTAATGTTTTTTATGTATTGGCCTTTTTTTCTATCTGTCTCTCAGATGGACCCTGTCCAGAAGGCAGTGATCAACCACACGTTCGGTGTCCCTCAGCCCCTCAAGAAGAAACAGATTATCTCCTGCAACATTTGCCACCTGCGCTTTAACTCGACGGTAAGAGAGGCTTCAGTGGTTTTATGCTGTCAAAAGAGAGGTCAGGGCACAATAAAGACTTGCAGGTGAAATTGGCTATTGAGTTTACCTGAATTTTGCCTTTCACACATGCACAATGCTGCGGGACCTTCTCTACACAGACGTGTTCACAACAGCAACAAATCCTCCGCATTATTCAGGCGAGAGGTGGAGCAGCCAGGTGCAGCAGACCGAGGCAGGAAGTGACATATTACCTCTGCTGCATAGATCACATGATCTGGACAGTGTCATCAGCTCTTATCACCACAAGCTTTCTTGACACTTTCATGTGTCTGTCGCCGCCTTTTCACTGGGGCATATTTGTTTTCTTCTTGTTTTTATTATTTTTGCGTCTGCAGAAACTGTGGATACTCTCACTCACACATGCACCTCCTGAGCAGAAAACACGGAAGACCTGCAGAGTTCAGTGCATGTCTGAAAGCAGCTTAAGAGAGAGAAATGTCATTTCTAAAGTAAAAGCAATCTGTAGAGATAAAGTAAGTTTAGCCTCAGAGAACATATCTTTCGGCCTCACTGACTTAATATCTTAGTGTGTGTATGCTCTTGGTGTAGCATCTTCATGCAAATTTATGTAGCTTCAAATCAAAAGTTGGTCATTTTGTGTTTTTCTCATTATGTAGCGAAATCTGTATGTGTCTTTGTGTGTGTTGTTTTGGTATGAGGGATTAGACAGCAGGGAGAGCTGCCGTTTATCAGCGAAGAGCAGAAACAATCAGCAGCCCCAGCAGGAAGCGGCGTTCTCGGCTCCTCATTCATTTCTCCAATTCTTGCCACCCTGCACGTGCACACGCATACACACACAAACAAATACACACATTCTATACACGTGCAAACATTCACACGCGGAATACAAACAGACAAATATCCCCATGACATTTTATGCATATTCACATAAACAAATAAATAATAATCCTGAAAGCCATAAGACTTTTCAGGTCTGGGCACAGGAAAACACACACACACACACTGGCACATATTTTTTCTCGCCTCCATTTTCAAAGAAGGGTTGAGGCACAGGAGACGGGGAGTTGAAGGGGGAGAGGGGATGCGGATGTGCTCTTCACACACTAGAGCAAATCCCATTCCCTGCTTTCACACACCGACTTAAACAGGAGTGCCAGGTCTGACTGTAGCTTTATCTGTCTCTCTTACAGCATCAGTACGTTCCTCACACTCCCATGCACCCTCCTGAGAGTGGGCCGACATGTAATACCAACTTATCTTTCGGCCTAATGCTGAAAGGGAGAAATATGTAAACCTCATCTACAGCTCAATAAAGAGCAACTTAACACTGGATCATGGTTTTGGGGACCTCCTGTGGTTTAGCTTCTCACCTGGCTACAGTGATGCAGAGGTGCATTTCAGGATGTGTATTGACGTCACTTGCCAGATTAGATGCTTCCTTCTCGCTATGTTAACAGGCTGCTGGAGGTGGCTTTAAAGCGATGGTGCAACATATTTCCCAAAAGGAAAGGTCACACATAAAGGAACACTGTGTTCTGTGGTTGTTCAGGTGCTCTGTCTGTGTTCATGTCAGCCTACTTGTCCCAAAAAAAAGCAGATATTTCAAACAGCATGATTCGACTCAGTGCTACTGTTACAGCATTTTTCCATGCTGATGTATGTTTCTGTTATATTTCTTATTACCTCCCGTTTGTTTGCTTGATAGTTTAGTGAGGAAAAACTCACTAAACTATCAAGCAAACAAACCAAAACAAACCAAACTACTAGCAAAAAAACTACTGGTAGGAGTCAATGACATTTTGGTGCAGATTTGGTTCAGGGGGTCAGGTCATTTTTTTTACATTGTGATTTAAAAAAAACAAACAATTCATGGATCTTGATGAAAAAAATCTGACATGGTTTGGGGGACCGATAAATATGTATGTAAGTTGGTGCAGATCCAAAGGGGACTGCCATGGTGGAGGTGTGGACTCTGCAGTTTGTTGTTTGTTTTCATTTCCATTAGAGGTCATCACAGTGCCTTTATTACTTCATACTCCTTTAATACTGGTAGATGTGTTTTATAGAAAGTAAATATAATCTAAAATGACCACATAATATTATGTTAATTTTTGAAAACTGACTCTAAAATGAAGCATTCACTAACAGAGTTGCATAATAGTATTTTCAGAGTGTATTAGCATCTTTTATTCCAGCTGTTTAAACCATGTAAATATTGACAATTTGTGCATCATTTTTTGCCTTTGCTCCTGTTTACACTGTCATAATACTGTATATTAGAACACAATTGGGCTGCATGTATTTATAGCACAGTGTAATATCACAGACACAACTGTGACTTGCAGTTTTGATAATAAAAGCTGTTTCTTCACATTCACCCGATCACCTGAGCATTGACGTGAGGGGAAACTACAGTTCAATTCATTGGCCTCTTAATCAAGAGTCACTGCAGTTTTTAAGTCTGTTATTATGTTTGCTACCAGCGAGGTATTATTTAGGATTCAGCTTGAAGTCAAAGCTATGGGGGAACACGATCCACACCCACTGAGCATATGTCTCTTCACCAGATATAGTCCAGTGTTTACTTTTAGCCTGGGGATTGCTCAATCGCAAAGGCAATCAGGACTCCCCCTGGAAGAACACTGTATCTCCGTGTAGTCATGCTGGCTGGGGCGGCGATGTGAAAAACCAAAGCTCGTTTCACACCTTGTTCCTTTGCCTCCGTGGAGACTCAATTGGATGGAGAGACTAGTGGCGGGGAAGGCATCACATCGCACTAATCTCTGAAGCCTCGTCACGGTAGATCAGTCAAATAGTATTCAAGGCATTTTTACAGATGCTTTGACAGTCACATTATTTATAGGCCACTGCAGCAGTACATCACACCTTCATGATAGCTGTACATGTTTAAATCCATAACCAGAGTTCCAGTGTTTACATAGAGCTACCACATGAGACTGGGGATAGTGCGTGCGTGTGTGCGTGCGTGCGTGCGTGCGTGCGTGCGTGCGTGCATGCTTGCTTGCCTATAACCTTGTATTTTGGCACTAATACAGTGCAAAATTGTATTGCTTATGGGACGTAATGTTTTGTTGACGCTCATGCAGTGAGAGAAATCCACATTTAACTCCCGATATGAAAGGCTTTCAGTGTTTGCACATCTCTGAGTCACTTGTGCATGTGTTTATTCGAGTCCTTCAAAGTAAAGCCCAGCCTCTTTCCTGACGTTCTTTGGAGTCTGAGGATTTACATGATTAATTTCTGGAGGAAGTAAACCTGGATGAGAGCTCTTGGAGGACTACACCTTACCTTGATCCACTTGTCAAAACACAGAAGGAGAAAAAGGCAATTTTACACTTAATCCATTTTGGGGACATTTAAGTTTTCCATTCTTTGCATATAATTTGAAAAAAAAACTTTTAATATACTTATAGTTTTACTTTGAATTTAGTTAAAATTTTAGTCTATAATGAGTATGTGTTCTTGCTCCTACCCTCTATAACTCTGTATATTCAGGCCTGGAGCTACTGAGGGCTCATCCCTCAGAGATTGTTTTAACTTTTAATGAGTAATCTCTGTATTGATTTCTCTACTATCCCTATGTATTCACGCTTGCTCCGACAACGGGAGCTTTGTTCTCGGATTGTGCTGGGCCGTGAGAATAGTGGAAAATGTGAAGGTAAATCGTGATCCGCCCGGTGGGAAATTTACTCGTTTATTGCTGCGTCACAGTCAGTAAAAATGTGATCTACGTCCGGATTTGTGTTTGCGGGTTTGCATGAGTGCTCAAATGTGTGTGACGCTGGTATGTATTTCCACATGTCTCTACGATTTCCAGAGGTTGACTCTCACAGTGCACATTAATAGGGTAGTTGTGGAGATGGGATCCTCTCTCTTGTTACATATTACACATGCAATTAAACCTCTGGCCTCCCAATGTGCCAGCGCTGTTATCAGGTAGAAACAGACTTCCCTCCTTGCAGCCCGTGCATGCCTGCAAGAGAGCGAATATTCAGGCGTGCATTTTAACATTTATTGCACATGGGCTCCAGTCTCTCCAGCAGATAATGCAACGAATTCCCTCGGCTTGTCCTTTCTCTCATTTCTCTGCAGAACCAAGCGGAAGCCCACTATAAGGGCCACAAACACGCCCGCAAACTCAAAGCCATGGAGGCCCAGAAGAACAGGCAGCGGCGATCTGGAGAGGCCTCATTCGCAGGGAGGGAGAGAGACAGAGACCGGGAGCGAGACAGGAGCAAGACGACGTCCGAGGCAACTCTGCCTGCGCTCATGGATACAAGCTTGCTGGAGGGAACAGGTATGTGAACAGATGGAAAGATGGGAAGAAGGCAACGGCAAGAGTTTGCTTTTTGTAAGAGATCCTTCTCCGCCTGTCTCCGTCTTCTTGATGATCACTCTATCACGCTTTGGTTCCTCTAATTCCCACTTCTACTCCATTTCATCTCTCCGTACCCTCCTCACCAGTCCCGTTCTCACATCACTGACTGCCTCCTCCTCTTCCTCCTCCTCCTCCTCCTCCTCTTCCTCCTCTTCCTCCTCCTCCTCCCTCCTCCTCCTCTTCCTCCTCCTCTTCCTCCTCCTCCTCCTCCTCCTCCTCCTCCTCCATGCCTTGGCTTCACTTATCTCTTTCCTTCTGCTCTCTACACCTTATCCTTCACCATCCCTCCCTCCTGTCCCCTCTGTGTTTCTGTGCATTCAAACCTCAGCAGTTTCCTCCCTCAAAAACCTGTCTGACCTGGCTCTATGTCCCTGTGCCTTGTGATGGATGGAAGGCTCCAAAGCTGTGGGATTGTGGGATGTCTTGGAGAAAGAGATGTTGTGTAAATAAAGGGGCTGGCTGAGATCGATCCGAGCCTCACTGGGGTCATTTTCACCCCCTTTGCCTCTTAATTTCCATTGCTACTTCTCCTCTGGGCTCCCTCCTGCTCTCTCCCATCCATCTGGGTTAGATAGAAAAGGTGGTTGCAGAAACAGAGTCTGTTTATCTGTGCAGGAGGAAATGAGTGACGCACAGTGCAGGGTGAGCAAAGACGGAGCTAAATAGAGGTGTGGGTTTTCGTGCAAGGGGATATCAAGTTGAAAAATCAAAACCACTCATCTGCCTTTACAGAAGGTTCAAATGTTTTTCATTTGTGCTGTAAATACAGACATTTAATATTTTCATAAAAAAAAGGAGTGAGTGCCTTGGTTTTCTTTAAGCACGCTTTTATGCGAGATGTGGCTGCAACATTAGTTAGGCGACCATGAATTGCTCGGATGGCATTTCGACTGCAGAGCGAGCCCATTTAGCATCTCATGTTGCACTCACCTGGGCCCACACTTTTCATTTATCCTTCCAACAGAGTGCAGGAGCGGCAGAACAGTTTTTCCTCTTACTTCATCCTCCCCCTCCACTCCCCCCCCTGCCCTGGAGAAGATCCATATCTGAGCAGAATTTCAAAATGCTCTTGGATGCTAGTTGAAATATCAGAGAGGAGATGTGACGGTTTGGGGAGAGAAGGGAGACAGGTTATACTTCATCTCCCCTCAAGACAAACTCATGCAGACATGGGCTCTCACACACATTTCCTTTTTTTTGCCTTGAGCAGAAGAAGTCTCCTCCAGAAAGGAGAAAGTGGACAAAAGACCGGGAGCCTGATAATGCTCTCATCAAATCTCATTTTAATATTCTGCTGTTGCAAAGGAGAGCTCTGAAAGAGGGAAGCAGCGGCGGAGACTAAATGAGATGATGAGCTGAAAATGAAAGATAAGATGAAATGAATGAAGGAGATGGAAAGAAAGAGAGCGTGGAGGGGTAGGGGGGTCAGTGGAGAGAGAAAGTACATAATCACAGCTAGTTCTAATGCTGAGAATAATTTTACAGTTCCAAAGCAATTTTGTGAGGAGGAACACTCTTTAATAAGCCCAATTGTGTGATTGTCCTAATGTGAAATTGAAATGCAGCAGTGCGAGCCAGTGGTGGCACGCACTACAATGCCAACCTGTAATGGAATAACGCTCCAAATTAACACTCTATGAAATGAGTTATGTCTGCCATGAAAGTAAAAGCTGGCGGGGAGCTGTCTGCGAGGGTGACACTCACATTGTCTGCCGCCAGTAACCAATAACACACCTGTCGGCTGATCTGCCAGTCAGTGAGTGTGTGGCTCAGAACAAACAGACATTCCTCCAGAGCCACAAGGTCATCCTCTTCAGCTCCATTAGAATAAACACTAATGCACACTTGGATGCAGGAAGCCATTCACATTTCACCCTAGGAGGTGCTGGGAGATGTTTGCGTTTTCTCAAATGAGGGGTCTCGAATTTCTTTACAATTATATTTGGTCCAGTGCCAAAGTGGAATGAATCAGGAAATTAAAATGTAGGCCTTGTCGCCTCATAATTATGAGTTATTGCAAAACACTCTGTAATGCGGTTTTACATGCTCAGGACCTTAAAGTGTCAGCACAACCTCTATTCCGATGAGGGCATCATATATATATATATATATATAAAAAAACAAAAACTAATCTGCCCTGAAGGAGGAATAACAAAGAAATTATAGCTTTTGTCCGTTGGCAGCAAAAAAGGAAATAGAGAAATGTTCTTAGAGAAGTTTGCAGGTAGGAGGACTTTAATGATGTTTGCTTCCTACTGACAGTCAATGTTTTACCCACGACCTGATGTCCGGCTTGGCCCTTTCTGTGTCTGCATGGGTTTTCTCTCCAACTTCCTCCCACTCTCCAAAGACATGCAGTTTATCCGGAGACTCTATTGCCTCTAGACATGAATATTAGATTAATATGAGAGTAAATGGTTGATTGTCTCTATATGTCAGCCCTGCGATGCCATGGCAACCTGCCTGACTGTCAGAGGAAAAGCGTAATTCTCATTCTCAACAGACTATTGGGCCGCGACTCAAAAAGGCCAGGAACCAGTGATTTTAAGGCACCATAGTGTTCATTTATTCGTACATACAGGAGGGACACGAGGAAACATCTTGTATAAGAAATGGAATGATGCTTATAAAACACGTCCCAGACCAGTGGGCGAGTGAGCAAGTGAGAGAGCAGCAGGCGGGTGCCTCGGAGGACCTGCATCAGCCGAGACGAACATCAATCACCCCCAACTTTGATTGACTCGGCTGTTGCAACCGTCTTCGCAGGGACTCGTGTCTGTCATCAAAGTAATGATGATTTAAAGCGAGCATTTTTCCCAGGGGAAGTTGTTTATGTTCTGAGGCTACACTTTACTAAACCAAGCGCTTAGTGTCTGCTTGTGTTTGTATGTGAGCATGAGTCCAATATTCACATTCATTGGCTTGTTTGGCCGTGGTTAAAGTTCTCAGTGGATCAGTGTGCTGAACAGAGCTCTCTTCAAATGTGTTTACACTCTAAAAGCCTGTCAGATTTAATTGGACTGTTAAAACATGGATTAATTGTTGATTGCCTGCATAACATTGACCCAAATATCTATAATTTTCTGCTGTGTAACTCCACTCCACAGAGGCCCTGCTGGCACTGCCAATACGCCGGCCTTTGGTCTGACAGGTCGCCAATGTTGGTCGAAGTCTCTGCTATCTTGTAGATTGTAAGAGGGCGAACAGGGCAACTCACAAATGGGCAGATAGGCGTTTTCTTCGGAAAGAGGGCAGGAGAGTCTTTGTGTTTATCAAAATGTTTTCATCAGTTTAACAGGACTTTTTGACCCAATGTCTGCTGCTGCAGAAAAAAACAAAGCCCAGCTCTTTTAACAGCTTCTCATCAGGGCTGCAAATAACGATGATTTCTATTTTTGACTCATCTCTGAGTAATTTTTTTTACAGCCCCTTCAGTTTATAAAATTAATATAATTCCGTCCATCACAATTTGTCAGAGGTGTCATCTTGAAGTGAAGTTAGACAGGATACTAACAAAAATATAGATAGAAGTAGTTATGTTAAAAATAAAAACATCAAAATCAGGGATACGACTTAAGTGAGATAGAAAATATTTATGAAGCCAAAAGTCAGAATTATGAGATAAAGTGTGAAATTACTTATCACAACTTACTGTTTCTTCCTTTTCATCTTTACCTCCATCATGATTATGTTGTCACCCTAGTTGGTGTGTTTGTTGGTTGGTTTGTATGTTTGTATGTTAGCAAGGTAAGGATGTGTTATGGGTTCATGGAAAAACCCTTAAAATGTTGGTGAGTTTCTGGATCAGGGCACAGATGCAGGATTTAGTTTCCCTTTTTAACATTGCAACACTTTACCTTTTTTCCCTGGGAACAATTCATGAATCTTAATGAAAATAATCAGGCACAGTATGAGAGTGTTAAATTCGGTGAAGTTTGAATTTAAGGGGACTGAGGTGCGCTCTGCTGAGTCTGGTTTTTTTTCTTTGACTGACAGAAATGTACATGCATAAGAAGTAAAGTGCACAGACCAACATCACAGCTTTATAAATGACAGAACATTTACTGGTGATTAACTTCGGATTCAGCTCCACTTTCTCTAGAAGCAGTTTGAGCTTTTTAAAAATAATAAGGATACCTGAAACCGGGCCAGGATATCTGAAATGATTCTCTGCTGAATGAGGTCATTCACGATCAGAGCTTTTGGATTCTTAGACGGCTTTGGTTTCCATCAGCCTCCGCGTAAAGGTTCCTGCTAAATCCATTGATCAGTATCGCTCTCCTCTTGAGAATTCTCAGGTGGCCCTATCCTTCACATAAGCTCAGGATCATACCTGCCCCCACCTCACCCACACAGGAGTGCAAATTCCTCAGGGGTCACTCTCATTACAGCGAGGGGACGATCTAATCTTGCTCCGATATAGGCTCTTTTTCTTTTGCGGGAACGAGAGAGGAAGACCCTTATCTCCAATAATGAATTTACTCTTGGAAGTAAAAAAGAAAATCAATTGAGCACAGTTGCTTTGAGGGGAGCTGCGAGTGTGTGCGCTTGTGTGTGCTGGGAGAAAGTGCACTAAATGAAATGGAGATATCCAGTGAGCGTAACACACAGTTCTCTGGGGTGGAGTGTGTGTCTCCCTCGGGAAGGCCACAGGGTGAAGGGGAGACGTGTAATAGAACTCCAGTGACTTATTGTTGTGGTCTGGCAGTCGATGTGTTTGTTTATATTGACTGAGACTCTGGGTCCACCTGATAATATTTAAATAGTAGGAGCTAGCACTTGAAAAAAATAATAAATTTCCTCCAATACAGTAACTGATAGAGAAACTGTTATATGAAGATTAATTGGGCAGACTTTATATTTTTCACCCCAAACAATTCAGTCTGAAAGAGATTTTTCTGGTTGAGACAATTTATTCAGGCTTATTGTTTGTTTATTTTTTCATCCTTTGTTGGGGTTATTTTAACTGTGATGGGAAAATCTTATAATCCATGTTGAACAATGTAAGAAAAATACAGGAAAACTGATTATGTACTAGACAAAAAAGTTATTATATTACTGTAGTTACATCAGCACAAAACTGTCAAAGATTCCTTTCATCAACTCTGATTCTGTGTTCAAAGTTTTCACATACAAAGTCAATGCAAAGATGAAAATTTCATGTCACAGGGACAGGGCAATACAAATGTCGTTAATAGTGCAACACGGTAGATGATTCAGTTTTTCGAGATTAAATATTTGAGCTTGACTGAAGAGACTCGTGCGACGGAATGTTGCAAATGCCAATTAGCTCATAGTGAAGTTTAAAGGAGACATTCTGCTCATATTCAGGCTCATAGTTTTAATTTCTGTCATTACTTGAAAAGGTTTCCATGCTGTAATGTTCAGGAAACACATCACTGTCCATTGCTGCAGCTTAAATATAGGCTTACAGAATGTTTCTCTAGCATTAGTGAGCCTGCCAGGAACAGATAAATCACCTGGGTGGGTGGGTGTCTAGCCCCTGCCCCAATATAACAACAAACCTCTGTCATCTTTGAGAAACTGATAATCTGGTGGTAAATAGTTTGCTGATGTTTTCCTCAATTTCTACCTTTAATGCAGGTCTTCAAGCTGATCTAGAACCAGCCAACCTGGAGGTGAAGCTCGAGGAGAGTCCCCGGAGCTCCGCGATGCTGACGCCAGTATCAGAGGTTTCCTCTGTTGACTTGGTCACCCTTTCCCCTCCTCAGATCTCGCCTTCCTCACAGCTCTCTGAAACTGCCTCAGATACCAGCGCCACAGAGGCCCTGGAGGCCCCGGAGGCCCCGGAGGCCACAGAGGCCAGCGGCCTGACTGCTGAGTCATGCAGCCATGCCGACACGTCTAGCACAAACGGGGAGACCAATACAGATGAGGACAAGGAGCCAAAGAAGAGCAAGGCTCACCTCCATTGTCCTGTTTGTAAAGTGACAGTCAACTCCATCTCTCAACTGGAAGCACACAACAGCGGTAAACAGCTTTCTGAGCATCACATGAATTTCTGTTAATTATTTTCTACCACAACAGACCACAGTCAACTCTTTACTCTCCACTAGGTACAAAGCACAAACTGATGCTGGAAGGTCAGAGTGTTGTGCCCCGACGCCGGGGCAAAGTGGTGGCAGCTCGCGCCGGGTGCAAGAGCAAGCGGCTGGGAAGCAAAGGCAGCATCGGGGTGCCCAGCAAGAACTTCCAGTGTGAAGTGTGTGAGATATTTGTGAACTCTGAGACCCAGCTGAGCCAGGTAAGATTTATTGCTGAAGTTATAATTGCACATCATTGCATTGTAGAAGACTCTAAATTGACCGTAGGTGCAAATGTGAGTGCGAATGGTCGTTTGTCTCTGTATGTTGGCCCTGACATAAACCCTGTACCCTGCCTCTCCCCCTACCCCAATGTCAGCTGGGATCGGCTCCAGCGACCCTTAAAGGATAAGCGGTATTGATAATGGATGGTTTGATGGATGCATAGTCGAATCATCAATCATTTATATTGTGAATTATGCCTTTTTCCATTGTGTGAGAGAAACTGGCCAATTTAAAGTGTTTGGAAATGAATAGATGTTGAGGAATTGCTGCATGGTTTAATTTGACTGAGTGGATAAAAGGATGGACAGAAATGTGTGTGACAACATGTCAAACTAATGGATCATTTATTACATTTTTTCACCACAAGAGACCCTGAGAAGATCTTGGCTGTAAAGTAGCAGAGTAGGAGGGAAAACTGCAGGAGTTATCACTCTGGGACTTCACTATCCGTCATGTGCATGTGTGAAATGAAAGATGAGGAGGGAAGCTGCGGCTTGGAGGAGTCCTGCCGATTTGTTAAAGCATACTAAGTGAGAGTGTTGCTAACCGGATAGGATTTTTGTTCAAAAGGCCACAGACGTAGTGTTGACTCTGTGGGGAAAAGCTCTCTGGCCAAATCAAGCCAGACAGTGGAGAAAACTGTGCATATAATTCCCTCACCTCCACAGACAGACGACGTGGCCACAGAATTAATCAGAGAGCGGAACTGCCTGTGCATACTTAGTTATTACCTCACACATCATGAGTCTGATATTACACACTGAACTTAGACCATACTGACCTGTAAGATCTCTATTATTAAAAAACTGGCACGAATGATGTGTATTAAAATGCTAAATATGAATGATGGTCCTTTAAAGACCATTTTAACATCACTTTGATTGAGGACTGGTGTGTGTGGGCTTTAATCAAAGCAGCACTTTCATTTAGAGCCACATGAATGGAGCCATTGAAAAGCAGGTTGTGAGTGCAGACTACAGCAGCTATTTTTCCACATTAGACAGATATCATCTGATGCTATAACCGACTGCAAAGCTCTTCACTGAGCAGGGATTTATTTGCCACTCATTATTGCGAGCTACTAATGCCTCCTGTATTTAATTTTCTAGTTACACTGACATCAAACGAGGTTTCAGGAAGTCATTTCTGTCCTTTTGATGTTCATTAAACACCACGTCTGAGCGAAGGGATTGTCAGGGAAACTTTCAGCGAGGCTTGAGTGGAATGTGAAAAAGATACAGCACCCAGGCTGCCTCAGCACCTCTATGCCTTAAATACGCTCCACTGGTTTTATACAAACATCCCATGGAGGATGAGCCAGGGAAGGAGAAACTTTTTTTCCCTTTAATTAAAAAGAATTGCCTTCCTTGGGATCAATAAAGTCATCTGAATCTGAAGAATACAAATTTACAAAAAAAGCAGACTTACTTTTTACATATGCAAATTTTCCTTTTTTTGTGGAATGAAATGAATTATACAGCATAAACAACTTAAGAATAAAATCAAAGTAATTGTTGTTGAAATTAAAATTCGTCATTACATTCTTGCTCTCAATTTAAATTGCATTATTATTTTTACACAATATATTTTTTTTTAAATGAAACAAATAGAAGTTTTAATATTTACATTGATAAACAATACAAGAAAGATTTGGTTCCATGTTACAAAAACTACTTGTGCAGTTACTAGTATAATTTGGTGAAATATATACTGCATAAAGTTTGATGTGTTTCTTCTTTGATGTGTGGTAAGAGCCCTGCCCTCTGCCTAACAACAGCATCAAAAATGTTTTCTTTGCTTCTTTCGAGAAATGAATTGCATTTTTATCATTTTAATTTTCATAATGTTAATAGCAATTACTTTATCTTAATTTTCATTGGATGGATTGAACCAGCAGGGAATGGAGAAGGAGATACTGTGGCAGTGCTAGAGAGTAATGTGGTGTAATTCCTGTGCACTTTGGTCATAATTGATGTGTATCCATTGTTAATTCAGCAGATGAAATTTCAAGTTGTTCCGCTGCGGTACAGCAGATGCTTGTTAGCTCGCTAATGTTGTTTTCTTGCTGGTCTCGGCAGCACATGAACAGCAGACGGCACAAGGATCGGCTGGCCGGAAAACCACCCAAGCCCAAATTTACCCCCCACAGCAAGAGCCAGCCAAGCTCCAGCTTAGCGGTAAGTCTCAGCATAAAGACACTGACAAACAAAACACTGCCACACTGCTATGTACACACACACACACACACACACACACACACACACACACACACACACACACACACACACACACAACATAATTGCCTTTCTCTTAGCTCAGATATGCTTCAACATGCTGTAGAAATGTGCCAAAACTGGAATACATTCAGCCTAGCTTGTGAACTAATGCATTTTTAAACAATGCTTTTAATTTATTTTTCGATGCAGTTAACTGATTTGACTCCTGCCCCGACAGACGCACAGTTGAAACACTCACACACCCACCCACACACACACACACATAGATCTCATTACATTGTGCTTAGGGGCTTCTATGTCCCGGTGAGGCAGTGTGCTTGTGTGCCCGTACTGTCTGAGAGGTTAAGCACACAGTTGTACTCTGTGAGTCCCCTACCCCTGAGACAGGTCTAAAATAGTCCCGCTCCCCCCCCGCCACTGACCAGCTCTGACAACAGCAGCCTGAATCAGCACTCCAGATTAATCACTCCTCTACTCCTGTCCTATACACACCTCCCATGTCTCAAATCTTTTCCCTCCTTCTTTCTGCCTCCGTCCTACAGAACATGAGATGGAGTGGCTATGCAGGCGTGGCTGTGTCTGCCATGAAGAAAGCATTCAGCCAGTACAACCTCACCTCCCTCTCCTCCCTCTCCTCGCAGGTCAGTGGCAGGAGAGACAGAGTCTGGGGTTTGATTTGAGGGCGGGAGCTTCACCTGGCTGGACTTTAGGCCTGGCCAGGGTCAGGGGACTGAGCAGAGATGATGAAGATACCATGTCAATAATACAGGGATGGTTCTGCTTTTTTTTATACGAGGTGCCACTCTTTTTACTCCCTTGGTGGTCGTGAAGTGGGAGGTGCTTTTCCTTTCTTTCCATATAGGTAGATTCAAGACTCAAGTTTCATGATGTAAATTCGTAAGACCTTTTATACATTACAAATACGGTACTTAAGTGGGTAATAAGTAAAGAGAATGGCATTCAGTAGAACGCATACCTGCGGAAAGACCCAACAGTTCCCTTACATTCAATCAAGCTGCATCAAATTTCACACAATCGTAGATATCAGCTCCCTACATTCTTTTCATTGAGTTCAATGCATTATTCCGGGGGACAAAAATGCATCTGGCAATGCTGAAGAAATGAAAAAAAAATAACTTCCTTGGCAGAGGTAACTGCATTTGCTAAATAATAGAATAAAACATGTCAGTGGTTTTGTTGGTCCTGAGACTCTTCTGGGTTAAATAATCAGTACAAAATATTTACAACTGGTTCTTGAAGTTGAAGGTACAAGCCGGTGAGCCCAAAGATTTTGGCAGAAAGGTTAACTATGATTTCCAAGATGCATTTCCATCATGACAAATTCCCAATTGTTAAGTTTTTCTGGAATTTTTTGTATTTCTGTATTTAGTAATATTTTGAATATCTGTCAAAGACATTTCACATATGGAAATATAGAAGAGTGAAAAACTCTTGATCTTCCCACTTTGCAACTTTAAGGACGAACATTAGCTCAGTGGAGGTCTTGTGGAAAATGTATAAAAATATTCTCAACACAGTTAACACTGACACTGTCCATGAGAAAATCTGCAATATTTGAAGTGAATTTCTTGAGGCTTTAATACTTCTATAGATATTAAACTATCTTGTTTTTTAATGGTCCCATGGAGAATGGTCTCATCTTTACTGAGTCACATACTTTACTCTACAGCAGCTGTGGGCAGATCTGACATTGGATTACAAAATCAAGAATATATTTATATTAAAAAAAAAACTTCACCTTTATGTATTTTCAAAATATGCTCCTAATAATTACAGTATTGCTTTGCCAATAAATTGCTAAATAGAAGCCCCTATATATAGTGCTGTATTTACCAACTCTGTTAAGACACTACTTTCATCGTCCAACATTAAATCGGCTTTTGAGGCTTCAGGTGGTGAGTATTTGATTTTAAAAACATGAGAGCCGCAATATGGTTTGATTTTTTTTTTTTTTTTTTTTTTTTAGCTCAGTGGGATACCTCTATCTGCAGGATCTTAGCAAATCTCATCTGAGCTGTGCATGTGCCTGAGCTGTGTACCACTGAGCAAGCATTTCATCTTAAAATCAAATCAAATCCAAACTATCCTTTAACATCGCAGAGTTTTGGAATAAATGTCTTTTAACCGTTGTCCTGACTGAAATAGGCTAAAGTGTGTCAGTACTGTAGTGCTAGCATTAGCCTGAGGAGTGAATTATGGAACATCAGGAATCCAGCTGTCTGGTATTTAGTGGGAACGTGAGTTCCTCTACTGCAGCTATGTGTACAAACCATGTTCCGTATATAAAGATGGACAACATCATAGCTCCCCTCACGTGAAAGCTGCAGCATTGATCATAAACCCCACCTCCTCCGTGTCAACAGATGGGATGTGGACCAAACTAGAAAGTCAAAGTCGGCTGATACACATTGTTCCCAAATATGGTTTCTCTCAGTTAAGGTAGATGGATGACATGCTTGCCTCCCCTGAGGACAAATTATTTTGATCTCCCTCTAGTGGCTGCCTGCAGGTCATTAACGCAGCCTCCTCCATGTTAGCAGATGGAACGTAGGTCTATAATTTTTCTATCAATTTTTCCCAAAGATGGGTTAAGTAGATGATCAGTTAATATAGATGGATGACACGGTTGCTTCCTTCAAAGGAGGACAATGATCTTCATTGCCCCCTGGTGGCTGGCTGCAGTATAGGTCACAAACCTTGCCTCCTCCATTTCAGCAGATAGGATGTGGGTCAAACTTAAAAGTCAAAGTAAACGTTAAATTAGTTTTTCCCCAAAGATGTTAGGTAGTTCTTCTCACACTGATGTATATCAAAGTAATTCGTTATATAATGCTGTGGTCGACTGCATGAATAAGCGGGACTCGATAGCTCCAAATGACGTCAAAAGCGCAAGTTCGCAGCCACCGTGTCCATTATATTTTGTCTTTACTCTTGTACAATGGGAGGAGGTGTTGTTTATCTTCATATACAGTCTATGCTTGCAAACAAGTGTCTGGGAAACATGTTTGTCCACTAAACATGCTGCACCCTCACTGTGTTCTTCTCTCACTTCTCACCGTCCCCCCTCCTGTCTTCTCCAGACCAAACTGGCCTTGCAGAAGCAGCTGACCAAGAGCTTGACAACTGGCTTCCTGCCCAGCCCCCTCACCCCGCCAACTCTGTGCACAGTGGCAACTAACCCACTGGCCCTGCGCCACCCAATGGGCGCCACCACCTTCATCCAGACCCCATTCCTGGGCCCTGCACTGTTTCGGCCTGCCCCGGGTCCGCTGCGGGCCACACACACGCCCATCATCTTCTCCCCCTACTAAAGACGTAACCCACCCTCCCACGTGAACTCCTCCCTTGTCCCCTTTACCGAACCCCAGGCCAACTTCAGTGTGACCCACATGACAAAAAGGTCACATGCAAACTATGCAGCACGCCTGACTTAAGTTGGAAACTGTGCACAAGTCCTGACGCTCGGTAGGCCTCAAGGCCTGAGATGTGTTCCTATCATAAAGGCCAAGATTCCCTATCATGCCTTCTTTCTGCTCCTCTTATCATGACCTACGGAGCAGGACAGGCCTCCAGACAGTGACTGGTACACAGAGGCCGCCTTTATAGCCATTTCATGGGTCAACATGGTTTGGAATCTGGATATAATTGTGTAATTTATTAGAAAACAAATATAGACAAGTCTAGATGTATGTTTAGTGTGGTTGCCACAAAATATGGTCCCTTTACTTGATGCTCTTTTAAACTGTTTTTAACTTATTGGTTTTGGGGGGTTTTATGAAAGGCCAGATGATCATACAGTAGGTCATTAAATCAGCTGTAACTGGTCTATGACTGGAGCCAGTCTCATTGATCTCTATACTCTACGGTCACATTGCATCCTGGATATGGCCATTACCAAACAACTGTCGGAACAAGTACTCCCTCTCAACGTTACACTTTTAAACATGAGTCCTGTATGTGGATCTATAACTACATACTGTATAGCCATGTGCTAAAGCCCTGCTAGCACCATTGTGTACCTCCTTTAAAACGGTTTCCCTGAGACCTTAAAAACATTTCCTGAACTCATTTCTTTCTGAGTCACCGTCTTATAGTCAGTACCCTCCAGATTTGTTTTCCTCCCCTGTATCCGCAGGATAAGCACTCATTAAGGTCCAGGAAAGGTCAGCTTGTCAACTTGACTTTGTTTCATTTTGCAAATCTGTCCTCAGAATGATTCCATATTTTTCTTCTTTGGTCCAGTGCATCATCCACGCGATGCAGCGTCAACATTATGTTCTCGCTAAGCTATAGCAGCATGAAAACCTTTTTTCTGCAGCTGTGGATGTCTGACATCGTAGAACACCATAATTTGTTTCCCCCTCATGACTGCTCTTTGTCTTTGCCTCCCTCTTTCAACCCCGCTGTCATCACCTCTCCACTGCCCTTGATTTTCTCTGACATTATCTCAGCATGAGATGATTGGGAGCTCCCCCTCTCACACACACACACACACACATCATGAAAACACAGCGGATAACTTGAAGAGTTGATGGGATTATTTCACCGTTCGGCAAAAAGTTTCGATGACAGTGGGTGGGGAAGCTGCTCAGACAGCAGGCCGCTTGATTGACATCCCATTGCAGTGTATGCATACGGTGTGGGTGGGAAAAAGAACAGTGCCATGGCAACCACATTAAAAGCACCTTAATACTGATTTACTTACAAAAGCAATGAAATTTGTGTTGATATTCAGCTCTTTTAATCTTCGTGTGTGTTTTTACAATCCCATGTCGATTTCAGTGAGAATTTTGCTTTGGAAAAGAAAAAAAACAATCAGGTGAGAATGATCACTTTGTGGTTCATCCATGACAAGTCTCACATTTTAAAGCAATACATTCGGTATGTTTATGTTTATGCTGTGTTTTTAGTGTGTCAGTGGCTTTATCTATTCTATACTGTACACACCTGTAATAATGTATTATGGATGCAGCCAAGGGCCAACTCTGAATTGTCAGTGACGAGTCATTGGAAACGATGGTTCGTCCTGGCAGTGCTGCCCTTGACGCTCGATGCTCATGGTCGCTCTTCACATGGTTTGACTCTGGGGCTAAGCCGTTCCATTTATAGCTGCTCTAGCTCTGCGGAGAGGGGGTGCTTCGGCGCCACATGACATTGCTGTTTCACTTTCCGGCTGAGCAGGGGAACTTCTGGAATGACTTCCACTGAGCAAAACAACGGTACGTCAGAAGTGTTTGGGATGAGTGTCACAAGTGCAACATCAACTGTCATATTGCTGTTCATGCTCGTGTGCTGTCCTCATCCTCCACCCTCCCACCCCGGCTGTCGACAAAACACTGAACACTCAACTTTTTTTTTTTTGCCAAAGCGGACTGGCAAGGCCTCCTAAGGACTTGGGAGTGCACGTGTCATCCTTCCCTGCAACACTCGTACCAAATCTTGTTCTCGTAAAAATTACAGTAATGGAGCAAATCCTATGCATTTCTCATTGTGCAATATGTATAGTTGTCTGTGATGCAGCAGTGCCATCTGTCGTGAAAACCCCGTAATTGCAATCCAGTACTAGTGCTTCTAAGAGACCTCTGATCCCATGTGCATTTCTGTTCAAGGAGCCCCAAGTCTTTCTGGGTAAGCAAGGCCGCCGGGTCTCTGCGCCATAACGATGTGATTCTCCCCAGTCGCACTACTCAGTGAACCAGCCAGCCTTTAATCTTCACTGTTTCTTTGTTTGTTTCTATCGCTCATTGGGAAATGGTGAACTAAAGAACGGTGACTAAAGAACATAAAAGAATCTAGAGAAGGTAAATTATATGTAGAAATCATAGAGTAACTATAGAAATTTTTATCAGAGTTGTTATTGTTATCTGTATCACAATGAACTGCTATCATAGAAGAGAGTAGATTATGTTATTGTAGGCTCGGTACAGCATACAGGGAAAGGGAAAATGCTTTGCTTTCTTTTTTGTTTGTTTGTTTATTTACATGATTTTACCAATATGTTTTTTTAAAGTACAAGAGAAAATATTTAAAACAAAAATTTTTTGAGTGAGCTTTTTTTTTTCTCCTCCTTGTTGACGGTGTCTGAGTTAATAAAGTTGTTCAAGGCCTTTTTAGACAATATCCTAAAGTCACGTTAGCCAGGCCTTCTCAGGGGTGACAGGTTGAGCAAATGCTAAAAAGACCATCCATTCAGGGTATCCCTCCATAGCTCAAGAGAGCAGGAAACACTGTACACATGGATGGAGTGATTTAGAAAATAAAATAAACTATAAGACCTACAGTGCTGTACATGAGAGGACGAGGGGCGGATTTTGGAAAATAAAGCTTTTAGAACTTGTAAAAATGCTTTTAATTTGTGTATCTATGTGTGTGCGTCATGAATTGGAAAACAGCAGTAGCCTTGAAGGTAATACTTTTATCACCCTGATATTTTAGCAATAATAATAAGTGTATGGGTCTGTGAGGAGAACAAAACAAACTGCTAATGAATAAACAGGGACAACATGAAGGATTCACAGAGATGCTTGAAATTTCTTTTGTTAGAATTATTTTTTGGTTCAATCAAACCAGAATATATAAAAAGCTAAAAAGATGTTTTTGATGCACAAGTCATTTATCACTTAATTAAACCTGAGCCCTGAGCTAGGATATGTCCATCTTTCACAAACACACACACACGCACACACACACACAAATATTGTATATTTGATCCAGAGTTTGCAGACGCAGGTTTCAGCCCCATAACAGCTTTATAGCTTCTGCTCCTGTGTCAACACACTGTTTGTTTCCAAGCAAGCAAATAAAAGAGACACATTTCAATCCAGGTGGGAGCACAATGTGCACGAGCTACCACAGGAAAATACAGTCATGCACGTAACCCACAATGCTGTGCAAATCGCGGTAACTAACTGTTAAAATATTTTATGGAATTTGTACTGTGTATTTTGTGGTGTTAACTGTAAAAAATACAGCAAAGGTTAACAGTGCACACATTTAAACCATCACATTAAAGAATAAGGAATAAATATGATTAAATCAAAAATTAATCATGCCAATAAAATAAAACATTATTACATAAAACCAAAAAGAATGATTTTAATTATGTATATAGTAATAGATAATAATAGCAAATTGAAGGAATATGTTAAAGGAACAAATATGATAAAACCATCACTGGTAGCAATGAGCAGAGAGAAATAGGGGAGAGAGCAGAGGTGGGTTGAAAAGAGTGGGGAGAGAAGATAAAGAAACAGTTGAGTTCAGTCAGACTTAGTCAGATTGGTTGTTATAATGAAAATAATGGTAGTGATACTTGCAGATGTAATAATGTTTTTAATGCAGCACCAGGTAAAAGCAATAATAACAACAATAGTCAAATAATTCAGGACTCATCTCCTTCATCTTCAGATTATTCTTCAAAAATATGACTGTACAGTACATTTTACTGCACGTGGATTACATTTCTAATCAGCAAACAATGAATCCTCCTGGGCTGTGGAGCTCTCTGCTACTCAACAATGTGTTTATTGACATGATGAAGTGATTTGTCCTTCTGCATCATCCCTTGAGACGACTTCAGTCCAGTGACACCTCAGTGCTTTTATCTATCACACCAGGTAAATATGTACTTAGACCTCAGTTGGCTGTGTATACAAATGCAATTAATTTTCATTTGAAGTCGAGCCCTTGGTGTTTTTCCTCAGCCCCTCAGGCCACTGCGTCAGCTCATCCTTTGTGGAAGCAGGAGATAAGCACGGCATCAAGTCCAGCACCTCCCGTGGTGCCAATCAAAGGAGAGCGGTCAGATCCCCAGCACTTACGGAAGCCAGTGATACAACAGAAGGACGTGATGACCTTGCTGAGCGGTGACACCGGTGTGTATCCTCAGTACTGCTCCATTATCTTATCTGATCGCTCTCCATGGAGAAGGTGACACCCTTATCTCCTGCTGCTGAGGTCAGCCCCCCACTCATTCACTCAAGAGTCACCCCCTATAAACATATATAGCTTGTGTACATGTGTGTGTGCATACAAAGATTCTGATAAACTGAAAGTAAGTGGGTCACTATAACTGATTTGTAGGGTTTTTAAAGCTTTTCCTTTACTGTTATTATTCAAATGTGCAGCAACAAAGATATGAAAGGACTTTGGAAACGTGGCGTACGAGAAGCATCCTCAACAATAAGACACCTGTGATTTATATGATGCACGTAAATTGTGAAGACTAATAATCTAACATACATTAGTGGAATCAAGGT